CAGCCGGTCCTTCGTGGACTTTAACTCCGCCCACATCCTGGAAGCCATCAACGTGAACTGTTCCAAACTGATGAAGAGGAGACTGCAGCAGGACAAGGTCCAGATCCAGGAGCTGCTGCAGCACTCTGCCCGGGGACAGGTGAGGACAGGTGAGGACAGGTGGGGACATGTGAGGAGGAGGGGACAGATGAGGACAGGTGGGGACAGGTGATGACAGGTGAGGACAGGTGGGGACAGGTGAGGACAGGTGGGGACAGGTGAGGACATGTGACGAGGAGGGGACAGATGAGGACAGGTGGGGACAGGTGATGACAGGTGAGGACAGGTGGGGACAGGTGAGGACTGGTGGGGACAGGTGAGGACATGTGAGGAGGAGGGGACAGGTGAGGACATGTGAGGACAGGTGGGGGCAGGTGAGGACATGTGAGGAGGAGAGGACAGGTGAGGACATGTGAGGAGGAGGGGACAGGTGAGAACAGGTGGGGACAGGTGAGGACAGGTGAGGACAGGTGGGGACACGTGAGGACATGTGAGGAGGAGGGGACAGGTGAGAACAGGTGGGGACAGGTGAGGACAGGTGAGGGCAGGTGGGGACAGGTGAGGACATGTGAGGAGGAGGGGACAGGTGAGGACAGGTGAGGACATGTGAGGACAGGTGGGGACATGTGAGGAGGAGGGGACAGGTGGGGACAGGTGGGGACAGGTGAGGACATGTGAGGAGGAGGGGACAGGTGAGGACAGGTGAGGACAGGTGAGGACATGTGAGGAGGAGGGGACAGGTGGGGACAGGTGGGGACAGGTGAGGACATGTGAGGAGGAGGGGACAGGTGAGGACAGGTGAGGAGGGGACAGGTGGGGACAGATGAGGAGGAGGGGACAGGTGAGGACAGGTGGGGACAGGTGAGGACAGGTGAGGAGGAGGGGACAGGTAAGGACAGGTGAGGAGGGGACAGGTGAGGACAGGTGAGGAGGGGACAGGTGAGGACATGTGAGGACAGATGATGAGGAGGGGACACGTGAGGACAGGTGAGGACAGGTGGGGACAGGTGAGGACAGATGGGGACAGGTGAGGACATGTGAGGAGGAGGGGACAGGTGAGGACAGGTGAGGAGGGGACAGGTGAGGACAGATGAGTAGGGGACAGGTGAGGACAGATGAGGAGGAGGGGACAGGTGAGGACAGGTGAGGAGGAGGGGACAGGTGGGGACAGGTGAGGACATGTGAGGAGGAGTGGACAGGTGAGAACAGGTGGGGACAGATGAGGACAGGTGGGGACACGTGAGGACATGTGAGGAGGAGGGGACAGGTGAGAACAGGTGGGGACAGGTGAGGACAGGTGAGGACAGGTGGGGACAGGTGAGGACAGGTGGGAACAGTTTTTCTGAAAATGATCCACATATTTTGATCTTCAGCAGATTCACTGTTAATAAAATATTTAATCAAACTTTCAGGAAACAAGCGTCCATCTACAGTAGGTGAGACCGGGGACAGTTGTAACATTGTTTGGAGGTGGTGACAACATATTATTAATACAATATATTTCACTGTAAATAAAAG